CCAAAGGCATGTTATCAGAACTGCTCTTTCAATGTCCTTTAACAGTGCCACAGAAAATTTAATGATGGGGTAATTGACAATCACTCCTTACCAGCTTTCCACGTATTTCCTGCCAAAATCCCGAACCACGGAGATCAGGTAGGCCTGCTTACCGTGGTTATTAGTGCTGATGTGAAAGTGAGAGGTGATCAGTTCATCACCCAGGCCTTCTCCCTTCCCATCTTCCCTTCTCTCCCTTGTTCCTTTTCTGCCAGGGGCCCTCAGCCTCTTCTTGTCATAGCCACCAGGGGGAGAACAGGAATAGGGAAAAAACAAAACTTGAAATCCGAGATTTAGGAATTTTTTTAGGAATGTTGGATTACACCATCAGAAGTTATTTCTGATTTTACAGGTGTTCTCTTTTGTAAAAAGCATTCTTTGTGTTTCTGATACTTTTGCAAATTTTATAATTAAAAGATTTTAACTGAAGAAACTGAAATACCTAACATATATATATATATGTTTCAGATTTTCAGAATAAATTTCAGAATTTACATGAAGCTAATTTAAAATTTGATTCAGCCCCTCTCCAAAACCACTTACCCTCCCTTGCTTGAGTTTTCCTAATCTCTTAGTGACATATTTGGGGATGGGATGGCGGCCATCCCCCTTTGTTTCACTATTCTGCTTGTTGGTATCTCTGTGTTGTCATTGTGATTTGCAAGCTACTTTCACACACTGGCTCTCTAAATAGAAGAGATGTCAGGTTATAAGGGAAGCCGGCGCTTTCTTTGTTAATAGAGCAACCACTAGAATCCCTAAGAAACTTCAGCTATGCTAATCCCCAAGCACTCTGCTATTTATTTGAGGATGGTTTTTGCCTTCTTGAGTGTTCAAATCTCATTTACTTCAAATAGTTAAGCTAATCTCTTTCACTCAAATAGACTGTAGTCAATTCTCTTAGTATTTTTTAATGCCTGTTGCCCAGTAGGACTCCAGAGTTAACTCTCAAAAGCTATCTCTAAAGTCCTCTCCAATGAAACCAGTCATCTGTCTTTCACTCAGGGAAGTCAGCACACCTCCATGTCGTGCAGAAATAAATTGGAAAGAACATGTTTTACTTTATTCATTTGACTTGGAGTTCTTATCCCTTCCATCAAATTCTGTGAAAAATAAAAGCAAAACAAATTGAAGAAGTATGAAGTACAGTAAATAACTTACAAATAAGATGAGGAACCCATCATGTTGGGGAATTATACAATATTCTAAGTCTCCTGGCATGTTCTAGACCAAGTGCTTTAGAATGTAAATACAGGTACCGTGAGTAAGAGTGGCTGAGAGGCCAAGGTCTTAGATGGAGGGGGTTATGGCACACTAACTATCTTGTGCTTTAAGCCCTTACCGTTTTAGTGGACACAGCTTTTCATTGGCTTGGGCTGCAGTGTAGGAATGTTCATGACACCGTAGGATTAGCTCAGAGAGCAACCATAGAACGTGCCAAGAACAGCACAGTAGTGGGACTTGAGCTTCATACAGGAAGCCTGAGCCTTTGGTCAGGGCCTGGGGTCTGTCTTTCATATGCCAGCCCTTATAAAGCACTGGGCCTCTGTTTATATCTGCGTAAGTTAATCATTGTATTCCATCATGCCCTTTTTTATATTAAAGATATTAATTACACTCATGATATTCATTAATTATACTCATGACATTAATTACATTCGCAGTATTCATTCAATAACTATATTTATGATAGTCATTAATTACATTAATTGTACTGATTTATTACATTCATGATATTATGTCCTGATACTACTGTCTGTTTGTGGGGTTTGTTCCATCACACAAAACAGAAATTTTGTACTTAGGAAATTGTTGCTCTATATTCCTTTCTTCTCCATCTTGAGATAACATCTAATCTTTCTGTCTCTATGAATTTGTGTATTCTATATATTTCATGTGATACAATTTTATAGTATTTTTCCTTTTTCTTTAATGTCTTAATTTGAGTCTGACCTTTATAAAAATTGTTGTGAAATATGCATCCAATTTACTGTCACAACCATTTGAAGTTCACATTTAGTAGTCTTAAGTGTATACACAGGGTTGAACAAGACTCCATCCAGACCCTTTTATCTTAGAAAACTGTAAGTACATCCATTAAAACAAACAAACAAACAAACAAACAAACAAACAAACCAACCCCATAAAATCTTCATCTTCTTGTCTTGCCTACCCATTGACAGCCACTACCATTCTGTTCCTGTGAATTAGATGGCTCATGTAAGTGGACTCACAGCAGGTGTCTTTTCATGAGTAGCTTATCTCACTTAGCACAACAGCCTCAAGTTTCATTCATGTTGGAGGACATATCAGTTTTCTTTCTTTTAATACTGGGTAATGCTCCATTGAGTGTGTATGATATGTTTTATCCATCCCTTCCACTGCCATTAGACATTTTGGTTGCTTCCACTTTTGCTACTGTGGGTAATACTGTTATGAAGAGGGGAATACACACATCTGTGAGTTCTTGTCTCCACTTCCTTTGGGTCATACAGCAATTTTCTCTTCAGTTTTGGTGGAGGTATTGTGCTATTTTCTGGGAGAACAGCACTATTTAACTTTCCCACCAACAGTGTAGTGTTCCAAGTGTTAGACATTGTTATTTTATGTTTTCCTCCTATTTCTTTGGGTTGGGGTGTGTGTGTGTTGATTTGAAGAGCAGCCATGGAAGTGGGTGTGAGGAGCTAGCTCCCTGTGGCCTTCATCTGTATTTTCTCTATGCCCATTCATAGATTTTTTTTCAGGCTATTTGCTTGTTTTTGTTGTATTTCTTTTGAACTTTTGGCTTTTTTGTGTATATTCTTTGAAGAAAGGTCTCTTCAACCCCTTTTCTTGCCTTTTTTTTTAACCTGCATATTTTTTTTTAAAATCTTAACTGAGAAAGATATAAAATTTGTACATATCAGTAAGGTACCGTGAAATGTTTATACATGTATATATTACAGTTTAAATAAGTGTAACCATATTTGTGTCCTCAAACATTTGTGATTTCTTTGTAGTGAAGAATTTCCAAAGGCTTTTTCTAGGTGTCCCTGAGCCCCTTGTTCCTGTCTAGGCATAAATTAGTGCCCATGCATAAACTTTCCCCT